TTGGCCGGTGCAAACGTGACTCGTTTTAGAAATATTCTTACTCTAGTGAGCTAGTTTACTCAGGAATATACCTAAAAATTTGCAAAAATGGTACACCTTATCGGAATACCATCGCCTTGTCGGAGTATTTCTTCGTAGGAGCATAATGTCCTGAAAAATTTTGGATATCTTTTTTCAACACCGATCGCAGTAGTGGACAACTTTAAACTGACACTTTATCCAGATTTTGTGAGGTGCTCATTTTTGGTGATTAGCAAATAGGATGAAACTGTTGTACACTGCTTCCCAAATTCATTCGCGTAGGGTGGATTTACTAACTGATCAGAAGATGAATAAATCCACTGGATTGTGAAGGTCCTATCTGGGATGTGGTCTCTCGGGTAGCCAATACAAAATCGTGACCACGTGGTGCGTTTTTCCTCAGCTGATGGTAGAGTGGTGCTATGTATAGACTTAGTGAGATCTAATCACATTGCTTACCAGCCGCCCGAGCCCCGAATATCAAGTGCTGAAACCTCTAGCCGATCCCCCCATTTTCCCTTCAAATCTACCTGAAATTTCGTGAGATGTGCACTGCTGATTTTCCTAATAGGTATGAGACTGCATCACTATGCTTTGCGGCAGGTAGGCACAAACTGCCTTCACTTCCAAGATGAATGCTCCAAAAAATATTCTCAAGTTTCCTCCGGCTAGTCGAGTACATCTATTCCCAGTAGATTTGTGGAACCCACGAGCAATTTAAACATCCGAACAGGGTCTACTACAGAATACCAAATTGGCATACCCGTGCTTTTGGGATATGAAAATTACTAGCTGGTTGTGCTTGGCAGTTTGGTGAATAAAAAATACGAGTTACCGTTCAGACAGTAACAAGCCTAGCGGAGACAGGCGCGAGGCAGAAGGAAGAGATACGCGATACCGTTCGAAAGAATAAGAACATGACAAAACTATCAACAATTCCTATGACTACGGACTTGTTATAATATTTCACCAAGCGATCTAATCTTTCGAACCAAGGTTAAACTTCATTTGTAGAAAATTGCTTCCGGAAGTTCAAGGTAGCTTAGTAAATTGGGGTAATAGTTCAGTAATTGGGGCTAGAAATCAGTGACCGTGTTTTGAATCCATCCTCAGCATCCTGACTAGCCCTGTCCACGCTCGGGCGATTCGGTGATCGCTCAGCCCTTGTTCTCCTCACGGGCAATATGGCGGCGGCATACCAAAACTGTGCTGAGCCTGAATTATTAATATAATCATTATATTCTCAATATGAAAACTGCGAATTTATCACTCTGAAATTCGGTACATTATCTACTACTGTTTAGCTCGGAAAATTGCACGTTGGAACATAAGTGAATACTGCCCCACAAACTGATGTGTCCACATCTTACACGAAATGGTAAAAATCGACGTATTTTGGGAATACAGCGGACAGATGAGCACTCGTTAATCAACGCACATTATCACACAGTTATGGAAGAACCGCCGACCAAATCATTCACTCACGCTGTCACTTCGGTTGGTGGCTGAGCATTTGCAAACTGATCACTAGGATCACAGGATACGAGCATCCAGTTGTTCAACGACCAACGAAGCATATGGGATCCTGGATATCCGTGTTCGAAAAGTAGGTCTTACATAGACTACAATATTGTTTTCTCAGTAGTGAATACACCATGGGGATATTTTCATCAACAGATTTATGTATGCTGCCAAAAGTGTGATTTCGAAAGAGCTGGGTGTCATCTTTCCAATGGCAAGATGACGAAACTGGGTAAAATGGTAAACTACCTCCACACACCTCCGTAAACTAAAATCCAAGGGTGCTACAGTATCGCGTGATAAAACAGCAAACCAACAGTTGTCAAAAGCATCCATGCTTGACTTGCTTATTCACGTGCCATGCAATTAACATAATAATGGAAGTTACGTTAGATGCGGATTACATCCGGTGGCGTGTACCAAACAATATTCTAACATGCGGGTATGTTGTTCATTCACTTCGTTCGTGTTAATTGCTCAACGGATAAGTCCCAAAAGAATTGTGCGGATGAATGAGTCAAATCGAGCATATTTTTTCGACACACTATAGTCGTGTGCCATTTAGAGAAAGGAAGTATGGAACTCTAAATACCCCTCTGATTTTCTTAATCACCAGGTAGCGGGGACCATTTTCGTTACAACACGACTTTTGCAGCCTTTCACAACCCATATTTTTGGGGAATATTAGCATCGAGTTCCCATTTCCGCGGCTATTATTTTGTTCTTTCCTACGTGGGAGAGCGCCACACAATTGGATAATCTTCAAGACCACATTAACCTTCCCGTTCACTTGTACCGGTCCTGATGACAAGTTTGCATCTATTACACTGGTCATGGTTCGATTCAGGATATTTTTCCCTGGAAGGAGTAGTAGTAATAATTTCGGTAACCACGATTATAACACAGATTTGAAAGAAGAGGCTTAATTGTGAAGGGAGTGAAGAGGTACACTGACACACGTGGTTCCTCATAAAACAGAGTTTATAGTTACAACTAACCTACACCTTCACCGAATGGGGGAAATGCAGCTGCAACCTTAGGGCGTCTCTTACTGTCAAGTTTGGTAGGCCTCGTCAAGTTGTTATATTGATCATCTAACATTAATATCGTTTTACTCAGTTCATGGTCGCTCAACTCACATGATTTTGAGGTTGATCAATTTAGACTGTCTAGCATGCGAAGGTACGACAAACAAAGAAGCTCATCGTCTTCGGTAACTCATAAGTTTTGGATGAGGCGAAGACGAGATGCTCTCTTCTACTTCCGGAAAGAGTGCGAATCTTTGCTAGTATTGATAGGTCCTCGTATACTATATATGATAAAGCAGTCTCTGATGAAAGCCGAGAAGCAATGTACAACTGTTCCCTTGTTTTTGGGAATCATCAGTGGTGTGGCCATCCAAAATCCAGATTTATCAGCATATTACGTCGCTCATCCATCAATCAAGGAAACCACATCTCTGGCGACTTACTCCTGAAGTGACAACTCATATAGGAAATCCGTTCAGCGTGTCAATCATTGTTCATTCGGTACTAATTGCAGTGTGTTTGTAGCGAGATGACATTTGGAATTGTTCAGTACAATGGAAATCCCCCCGAAGATTTCACGGAACGTGAGTAGGGCTAGAATTCTCTCTATAGACTGGCTTCGCTTTCTTGACGGCATTCCACTACCCAACGAGGATTACAAGAATTATGCTGCTATTCCTTATATCAGGGGTGCATTCACCTTGATAGGGACCCTTTTAACTAAGCGTAATCACGTGGATTTTGATCGTTGTAGTCATTCTTAATATGCAATCAAACATATTTAAGCCCCTCACGGCGAACTCTATGTTGAAATGGTCAAAAACGGCACTGAAATTGGTTCTCATTGTGCCGAATTTGTGATTGCAACCTCATCCACAGTCTAACATTGGTCCTTGCGTGCACTTTCCTAAGTAGGTCTACTCAATGTCATCAGGATAGCTGACTAACACTATAAATGACATAGTGGCACCGATATTTCAAAGAAACTAAGACAATAAACAGGGGACTCAACAAAACATATTCAAACATAGTCTTTCAGTTGATCCTGGCGGAAAGTATTTCCAAAGTCTCAATGCTCTTTTCGCTATAATCGTTCGCGCTCATTTGAAATTTCTTTATCATGATTTGCTGCAGCCTAATGCCCCGGAATACAACGAAATCCTCACCCACATTCATTTAAAGTAGAAGTATAAGAAACCGGTGATTTACATGGATGCTTGCTACTCTGGCTCAATGTTTCGCAGTCTTCTTCCTTCAGATGTGAGAAGTAAGTAGCGTAATTGTTTGGCGGGCACCCGTGAGAATCCCGTGGAATATCATGCAGAATTTCCCTCATATATAGTTGGAATACCGCATTGGCCAGTACAACAAAACGAAGTTCCAAGCATGGCTGATGCTTGTTTTAATGTGATCCTTGAAAGAAATAGTCCCTCGCCATCTGCAAAAAGCTTGTACACGGACAGTGAACAACAACACACCTTCATCGAATAATGTCACATTTGCTACTGAGCTAGTTTCAGCTGTTTAGTAGGAGTCACTGTGATATCGGTGCAACACCTGTGATATTTGGGTTCCCTTTGTATCAAACACGATTCCCAGTTAGATAGTGTGTTTGTCAATTAGGGAGAGATCGTGGGTCTTCCACGGATCAAACAACAGGTATAATACCAGTGACGTGAGCACATTTGACCGTTCTCCTCAGAGATTACAAAGAACAGGATCAAACAGCAGGTATAACACTAGTGACCTGAACATATTTGGCCGTTCTTTTCTGACGGGAGTTTTACCAGAGAAAAAAACATTATAAATCTACATACTGATGAGATTTGGCGACGTGAACCAAACGTGTTTGGATAGGACCATTCAGTCTGATTCCAAGAAGTGATTATAACTGAGGGACGTTCGAAGACTGCGCCGTTCTGATTGACCCCAAGTAGCGTGGAAACTATGGTGTTCTGTCAAAGATTTTTCACAGAAATTCGAATTAGTGTGTTAGTTTTCAAATTATTGGCACCCCACGATTTCTGTGAGCCGCACTATCAGTTCGTCGAAAATATAACTCAATATTTCCTACTTTTCTGATAGTGATCCTTTTGTTCTCTTGTGTGAACCCCCAAAACTGCAGTCTACGTGACAACCTCAGCCAATGAAGATGAAGCCAACCAGGCTGCCTAATTTAGTGACAAGCAAATCGATGTTTATCTAGTGACCGAATACTCATATGCCTGGATTAAGTATTCGCAATACGTGCTTTTTAACAAAACTGTTGCGGATAAGCCTGTTAGAATTGTATAGATAGTTCTGTGGTGGTTAGCAGCCAGTGTTAGCCCACTTGATTCTCTTAACCACTTAATTTTATTTCCAATAAGTTATTTATATGTTCCAGTACTCTTAACCACTTAATTTTATTTCCAATAAGTTATTTATACTGTTCCAGTAAGTGTGACTACTTGGGTGAGAGACGTGTCTGGTGCATCTGGGAGTCGGCAACTACTACTGGCATCTGTAAACACTCGATGCAAGGTTTTGTTTTGGCTTCTAAAAACCCTTGCTCAAGCGCGGCGCAGGCGTATGCTGCTCAGCATTCCCCCTGTCTTGCACATCGATGCTTGCACCTATTCAGCTGTCACTCAGAAAACGAATACGTCGCAAGCATGTGGCTTACGCAGCAACATAATATTTGACGGTTCCGCCAACGTGATCTTGTCGACTCATTCGTAAATGAACCTCGTTATACAGGTAGAACATGCGGTCAGATGTTTCATTTCTCGATTGGTTCAGCTTGGATCGAGCTAAGCACCGTTGTATCCCTGACCGACCCCGTACTTGGCACAGCATTTTTGTAAGACCGGTGATCAATCTTTCGTAGACATTTCAGCCCGGAGGTGACCACTCACCGCCACAACCACCACCACGACCATCAATTCCACCGTCACCGCCAAAATCATTAAATCACCCCCACCTGCACTGCCAGTTCGAACTTCGCTTTCAATCGGGAAAATGCTTTTGTACATCAAGTAATCACGATCGTCCGGAGGCCCCAAAATAATGAAACCATTGTTCGGATGTCAAACCTTTTTCACTGGACTTCTGATCAGGGTCGCCTGTGATCTCGCCGAGGGATATGTAAGATATTATCGAACGCCTGAGTGCTATCAGTGTAAATCGGCCTCTAGGACAGAGACCGCGTGATTCCCACTGTCGCTGATTGAAGACGCTGCCAAGTGTGGATTTGCATCAATGTTATTAGAATTTTTGTTGTCCTTTTTGATTCCGATCACCCGAGTGAATGTGCGGGGCTGCAGCTGCATCGGATTTATTGGGATCGGTCAGCGGGAAGTCATTTTTCCATCCACTTTGAACACGACTTCGAAAGAACCTTGAAGGCACGCAGAAAAGGGTCAGTGTTGAACATGGATGCATTCAATAATGATGATGATGGTGATGATGATGACGCTGATTGCCCTGGAGCTTCAAAACCCTAAAATATGTATGGGTAAAGCGTCCTGGCACAACAGGATGCTCTGTGATTCATCGGCAATATTTGCGTCGTTGCATGCCTCAGTTGCCTTGCCTCTGTTGATGATTTTACTAGTCAATGTGTCTGGTCCATGTTACGCACGCAGAACGACCTGAAGCAAATGACACTCAAGCTACAGCTCCACAGGCGAACACTGATGATTCGCTGAGGATGATGCTGATACTCATTGTTATAATGATGACTGTGGACCGACTGAAACCTTTTTTTCCAAAAAATCTGTCGAAACGTAGGACAAAACACAGTGTGGAGCACAATCGAATGAATAGGCATACATCCGGCTTTCACGCTATCGCCATTGGAGTCTCTCTGTTTTCTCGCGTACCCTGCCTAATAACGAATGACCAGCGTTCACATATTGCCCCAGCAAGTAATAATTCTTTTCCACTACGACAGGTGCTCTGTCATTATCACGATGTAATGATGTCCGCTGGGTATCACCGAAAAATTACCCATGACGTCAACGAATCACACCTCGCCGCTTTCTGGGACAGCAATAAGTTTCATGGAATGGATTGCCACTGTCATGTCCCATTCTATCATTTGGCATCGCTTAAAAGACATCAAATAATCCATGACTTCATTTCTCAACCCAGGTTAGTAGGCCCTCTGCCAAAGTACATGCCATCAAATGGCATTCATCGAGAGCCTCCGGCCTCAAGACGCTAAATATCAAGGGCAGCATAACGCATGAATCATTGGCGTTCCAGTAAATTCGGACTCACTCAGTCAAAGCGACTGTGGAACGTTTGCAATTCCTTGTCTCCTTTTTTGTTCCTAATGACCCTTCTCTAAAAAAGCGGTTGCAACCTTTCGGAAAACAGGATCCCGCCGTTGAAGTTCCAACAACCTTCCGGGATACCGTTTGGCCACGAGTTCATTGGCTCCAATCATGATTCTGGAAAATGCATCCTGAGTTTCTGGTTTTGACAGCCAATAAGCAAGGTACTTTTCCTTTCCCGGCACTTGCTGCATGGTGATGTTGTCGGAATGACGAGGACGCAAGGTTTTTGAGAATCCCCTGTATTCCCCATTCGTTGGCATCGGTTTCGATATGAAATCTTTGCCCAAGGAGATATGGCTTTCATTTTCAAGGGCCCAGACTACCGATTAACATTCTTGTGAGTATTTCTGTTCAGCGTTAGTCAGGACACGACTGGCATACTCGATAAATCCAGTCCTCTGCTTTAGGACTGCGCCGGTACCATGAACCCTGGCGTCCGTTGAAAAGTGAACATCTCTCGGAACCTGGCCAGTCTGATGGTCAGTTTCTGGTCCAAAATCCGCGCTCTGACACACTCAAACCTTCTCTGGTTCATTCATATTTCCGATTTTGCCCCAGCACATCATATAGTCGCAGCGATCGTGCTTAAATCCTTAACCAACCGGTTTTAGCATGCTGCTCGTCCAAAAAACTGCTGTAGAGACCGCTTTGAATTGGGAACAGAACAATCCTTGGTCTTTGCCACATTTTTGGCAGCGGGCCAACTTCTCTGTGACCCAGTGGTGACACCGTACTCCGAGTGAGCTGTGTCTTGGCTTTATTTATCCGCAGTCCTGCCCCGGATCCGCTTCAATACCGTCTTCAAGTTAAATGCTAGATGTGATTCTGAATTACCCTGCACAAAGATATCGTCCCCAGATGTAAACGCCATTTTCTCGCAGTCCTCCGCCTTCGATCCGGAATGCGAATCAAACACAGTGAAATATTGGGATTGCTGAAGGGAATCGCGATTCTCTGCAATCGGAACACGGCTGCCAACCCGATTTACGGTCAGTTCATTCATGCGCGGATCTCCGCGCAAAACCAGCATTTCCCGTTCGCATTTCATTCAAGCACAACCAGGGAGTAGTATGCATTTTTGGCTTCTTTGATTATGACATTCTTTAACATCTCTTCAATCTGCTCATGGACTTCCTCCCGCAGATGGAGCGGCAAAGGACGGGGGCCGTAAGGTCGAAAGAGTTCTGACGACAGGGTGAATTCGTGATCAATCCATGGGCTAAAGCCAAACGGGTACTCATTCCCGTGAACAATTCGGAATATCCCTTGTCCGCGGAACGCACTGACGCTACGTTACAAGATGAAAGCTTCCAGACACGCAGCTCACTCACGGCAGCCCTTGGATAACCATCAAACTTGACTGCGCCCTAAGTTGTCACCAGCTTTCTCTGTTTTAGGTCAATCAGGGAATCTGTGCCCTTGAAAAATCTGCTCCCAATATTGTCCGTTTATGTCTGGGCTGATCAGGAACGCGTGCTGTACGAATTTGTCGCCTAGGCATATCGAGTGCCGTGACAATCCCTGAACCTTCAATCGATATCCACCCAATGCTCTCATGGCTAGAGTGCACAGTCAGGGTTAATCTTGATCCGTTCTCCGCTTCAGCGATACACTTACAATTGTATCAATCAAACATAACTCCGTCTTCCCGTCTATCTCCGAAACGGCCCGTGTGATGGATTTTGTCGGCGCGCTAATCGCGACCCACCCGGCTAAGAGTGCGTGCTCAAATTTTTATCAGTTCCAGGTGACCGAGTACTGGGACAGTGATTGTTCCAGTGATCAGACGTGCCACACATGTAAGCACCGGCTTGTCAGAGCGTGCCTCGCGTTTCGGTCTTCACGGCTGTAAGCTGTTCCGCAAGTTAGTCTACTTTGGTCTTCGGGAACACCAGCTCCTCAACATTCAACTGGCCATTTGTTTATGCCAACTGCATTCGGGCGCCAAGCGCCGGCTGCATATCTTCGGCGAACTGGTCGGGAAGTAACTGGTGGCGCGGCAATCCGTCCACTCCCGGCTAGGCGCGATCCAAAGAATCCAGGTACCCTCCTGACTGTTTCGAACCGCCCCGCAGCCTCCAGGCGTTCGGCCGACGTGCCGAACTCCGCTGCAAATTCTTCCTTCCTGGTGGCCCAGTACTTCTTCCAAGAAGCTCTTCTGACCGCATCTAGGGTCGCCTTCTTTCAGATCTCTCAGGAGGATCTTCAACAACGCGGACTTACTCCAGCGACCTCCGTGACCTCCTCAAAGTTCCCCAGGAATATCCATGCATTCCCATAATCAAATGATTGTGGCAACGGAACCACGATCCCTAATCTGGTCACGGCACCCACTAAAACGAACAAGTTCTTCTCGCGGAGAAATATGTCACTATATACCAAATGACCAGTTACAGACTACCGGACAGGAAAACAAACCTCTCATATTCATCTCAATTAGGAAAACTGCACATCCATTTTCACTTAAACGCGGCTTGCTGACCGTTCCTGTATAACCGTTGAGTGTTGCTCAAGTCCAAGCAAATGTTGCAAATCAAGTCAAACAATTGCGCAAAGTACTCCCTTTTCAAGCAAATTTACGGGAAGAGAACACAGTACTCTTATACCTGCCCCATTTGCAGTATCACCGATACATCAGCATTCCATGAGTATATCAAAGGAAGAGTGAATAAATAAGATGATTAAAACTTTCTTGTGATGAGTCATCACTCGGGGAGGCTGTCAGCAATAACTGAATATGGGATTTGGTTTCTGTGATCGAAGAATGATTGGCGCAATTTTCACTCTAACTGAGAGCTAATCGCTCTACTGATCAGCAGCCCTTGGCCCATATTTTACCTGGTTTTTCGGTGGGCAGATTAACGAAAGCAGCGAAACTGATCAAGTAAAGGGTTTCCTCTAAAAATGCATCAGATTATTTAAAAAGCAGCTTTGAAATTTTTCGGATCCGCACAAATGGATAGGCATAAAAAGGGTCTTTTGGAAGCTTCAGCACATCAGTTGCCTCGGCATGCATAACACCCCTTGATTCGATATGCCATACCGCTGAGTATGCATTGACACTCAGAGTTTCCATTTTCCCGCTTCCCACAGCCAGTTGACCTCGGGCATTTTTTGGAACAGCACACCACACTACGAGTAATATTAGTAAAAGGAAGTCGCTCACCACAATACCAACTCAGTGGGATTGCCCGATCTGCCTGAATGTTTATATATTTAAGTTTCTGCGGGGTAGATCACTTCGGTACGTAACAGATGTCGAAGGTGGGTCATTCAACCCGATGCTCAACGGTCGTACGATTAAAGGCTCACTAGTCCACATCCGTCGGTAACGACTGGGAAACTGCATTCTCCACGAGAAAACCAGCGTAACCATTGATTTGTTAGCCGTGGTTAAAAGAACCACAAAATATCTCAGTCTCTTTGTTACGTATTTACCGGTCACCAGAAATTCTAGGTAAGAATTCATGCAATGTTGAGTCGTTGGGCATCTGGACGCGCCGTAAGATGGAATTTCATTTTTAGCCCCAGCAAATCTTGTAATTTCCTAGCTGCTCAGCTGGCCTCTCCTGGTTTTGTTCACACACATTGGTCAGGATTAAAACTTTTACAGTGTTCACTCGATTGGTTTAGGTCGACCAAAGTTCGCACTACCGGTTACGCAAATGAACAAATGATCAAATGTTCACGACTTATTTGGATTAACCTTAATCAGTAATATCTTTTCTGCCGAAAATCATGGCTAGTGCGTCGTCCAATTTGGACACGTCTAACCAAGGATCCATGTAGATGAGCAATTACAAGTGTGCTCAGTCTGACAATTAGTTCACAGGGTTTCACTCTCATCGGCATAGGAGGCCTTATCACCGCGAAGGGTCAAGACCCACTGAAACATTTGTAATCCAACTTTTTGCCTCGAGTGACAGATCGGCAAACAGATTACCAATAACCTGTAAAGCCACCCGATTTGGCACTGTCTCGACATATTTGCAGTACTTGTACCGGTATAGCAAAGTGGCAAAATAGCAGCTTTAATACTGGGAGCATAACAATAACAGTAAAAGTTCAGGTGCAGCACCGTTTTGGTATGCAACCGCCATATTGCCCGAGGGAATTGCATGGGCTAAGCAATCGCCGTGTAGCCCAAGCCTGGACAGGACAATTCGAGAAGCCAAGGCTGGATAAGACACGCGGTCAGCAAGCACTGGACCTAACAAATGAATTATCCTGAGCACCTAAGCTAAAGTGAACTTCCGGAAGCAAGCTTCTACGGTGAAGCTGAAGTGCAACCTTGTTCCTTGAGAGAGACTGACAACAAGAACGCGAGTGACATCGGTTACCTGCCATATCTTGCAGCGTCTCCAACGTGAGTTAATTGCACAAAAAGACTTGTAAAATCTGCGACCAAAGCGAGAAAATTTAGGGCTACGAATAAATACAGTCAGCTTATAAAAAATTACACAAACGTTTACTATGTTCAAACAAGGGTCTCGTGAATTCTTGGGTGTGTAACTACGAGTCGGTCGTGCTTACTGCTGGCCGCGATGTCGGGTCTTTGTTAGAATTTGTTTGTTTAATTTTGGCGACCTTTCTCGACGAGATCGCAAGTTTATAAGAGTGAGCCTTGACTCTGTAACTAGGTGTGTCGTACTGTGATTTTGATAAGAGGTTGTGTTTGTTGCGCTGGGCGTCGAAACAGCAACTGAATGGTTATGAATTAATTACAACACTTGAATAGGTGAATAAGTAGATCAATTTGGGTATTCAGTTTTGGACGACATCTAGTTTTCAAAAATTTGGGTAACTAAATTGGTGATTGCGGCGAGATAATTTATCGCAATATCGTTTACGTGCTAATTTTATTTCATGCGGCATAGGTTATGTATCGCACAGCTGAACATATACTCCGGTTTACGCATTCCGATCAGTGATTTTTGGAAGATGGTGCGACGGCAAATAAATAAAAACAAGCATCCTGTGAAATCACACTGCTTGCGTGATCTTTCCGCCATTTGAAGTCATCGTCCGGTTCCCGCCCAATACATTATACAGTGTTTCACCAGAGTAACGTTAGACACAGTTCAGTGGCCTGATAAAATTCGGTGATGAGGTGAATTACCAACTTTGTGACAATGCACAATATTTTGTTTGGTGACAGAAATTGTTCCAAACAAAGTCCTCATTTATGCTAAGAGTAGAAAAACGTGGAAAGTTCATTTTTGCCTCATTAACTAATCCGCCTAGAAAATTCAGGATTGGAAATCTTGTTCTTCAAAAATATACAGTTGATAATATGATCATTGTTTACTTCTCAGAAGACACTGCGTTCTTCGCTGAGATGGTTTGATATAACGAGGACATGAGCACATTCCATAATAACCTGAATTTTATAAGATTTATGGGTGGATGTTAGGTTTCCCACAGAAAAGGGCGCGATTATTCCAACCAAACAGTAACTTTATGGATTCACATTTTCTTTCTTACAGGATTACGGTAGGTTCCATTATCCAAAACATATCAGTTTCATTGTACGTGATAGCCACAAAAACATAGGCGTGTCGAAATACAGGGCGATAAAGTGTTCGGAACATCAGCCTGGAGGTCAGGCGTTCGTGTCCTGACACAGCGAAAATGAACACAAGTGGAGGTGGAATAGACGTACACTGCTGTGCGGCTTCATTTACACCAGAGGAGGCAATGCTGTATGACATTAGAGTCCTTTGCCAAGAGATGGCCCAAAAATTTCTCAAATCAATAGCACTAAACACTTAAGCATCTGGGTTTCAAAACACATTTATTCTCTATGCAATGCAGAGTCAAAGTGCTAACCGGACTGACCGCATAATGATCAAGATAGTGGCTCCTATTATGGGCTAATTTTGGCAGCTAAGATAATCACTGAAACCTTTGGCACTTTGACGTATCCCGAGTACGATTTAGGGAGGTCGAACTTGCAAATCTGTACATTGGTGCCTGTGGGTGCTTGTGGCTTGTTTCAGATATAGTTGACAGTGGGCATAATAGGAAATCCACCCCACATCCCACTAAATCTCGATCACCAGCCTTGTTTTAGCGAATCAGTAGGCGATACCTTCAACCATCCAATTCTCACTACGAAGCGAAGCCACAACCGGCCAATTTTTCACGATCTCTGCTTTAACGACTATTGCTTGAATATTCCCATGGTTTGAAGGTTAACACAGTGTCGTGCAATAACTTTTTGATTATATCTTCATCAGGTCAATTGTTTCGAATAATTGTAATCGGATTGAAAATTGAAATGACCTTCCTGGTTTGGGCAGCGAATTGCCAAACTTGTAGACAGAAATATTGTTTGCCTGCACCAAAAACTTACTGGAAATAATTGATTTACAATTTTTTTTGGAAATAGTACTGATAACATAACATTCACAATAAACAAAACTTGGGTGAGGAAAATCCGCGAATGAAACTTCCCGAAAACCCTGAGAGGTACGTATACAATTGTTCTGATTTTGTTATCCATTTAACGTTTTTGAGGATACTATCACTAAGGCCCAAAATTCTGCTGCCCGCGCCGTAGAAATGACAAACTGGCAATTGAGGTGCAACTTGGGAACCTACTTAACCAGAATTTTGAACTGTCCACGACATAACTGGCAAACATAAACCGCCTTTAATCCGCTGCATAATCGGGTTATCCGTTGAGTCCGATATCGAATATATGTAATTCTCCATATCACGCAATTCCCCAATATTGGGTCAAAATTTCTTAACTGGTACGACAAGATTTCAGCCGTTGTAGCCTACGTGATTAACGATGTAGTTATTGGTTTCCAATTCATGGGGTCTTTTGACGTAACTTCACTACTTTTGTTACATTGACTCATAAGTTTGACTCCACCACCAACTCATTATTTCAACCTACAATTCCAATTTGAATCTCCACTTTACCGTCAGATCGATAAACTAGGCATGATTTCTCCTCATGACCTAATTTTGAGTGATATATTTATGGGTGAAATGGAGCTTGATCGATTGAATAGATCGCACTTTTGTCGAAGTTAGGAAGATGATACTTTTATGGTTGCACGAAATGGATGCTCTCCTGACCAACTTCAACTAAGCACATACCTCTATTCGATCGACTTTTTAAACTGAAATTGACAACGATTTTCCACTTCTTAGACATTAAGTTAATCAGATTCTCTATGGGTTCAATTCAGACATCCGTTTACAGGGAGCTCACGTGGACTGGGCAGTACAAAAACTTCCTGAGCTTTGTGCCACTGAGGCGAAAACGAACCCTGATTCAAACTTTAAAGAACCAAGCAAAACGTATTTGCTCCGCTGATACACTGGACTCCGAACGGCAGTAAACTGCTAACGTGCAACGAGCCAATTGTTACCCGGAGAGGTTTATAACCAACCGCCTATCACGTCCGTTGGAAAGAAGCCAATATACTTGAGTCTACCTTATAAAGGCTATCTGTTGGCGGACATAGTCAGTCGCCACTTGTCTCAATCCCTACTACTCACGTTTCCTGCTGGAACTCGGCGGTCTTGGTTCACAACAATCCGTTTGCTTAACCTGTAACTCAAAGGCAAGATGCCAATCCTCACCCACAATATGGTTGTGTATTCCTTCTCCTGCTGTGGTTCGGCGGAGTATGTTGGGCGCACGACACGGCAACGTTCTGAGAGAATACGCGAGCATCTCTCTTAGCGGAACACCACTAACCACAACAGTTCAGCCAGGAGCAAAATTGCATCCCACCTAATCCACACAGGGCACGTAGTCATGCTAAATGAGCCGTTTCAGATCATTTACCGCGTGTCGAATAGACTGCCAGTATCTATTCAACGACGTTGCTTGACAACTGCCGAGGCAGTCGCTATACGCCTTCGAAACCCGGTACTGTGCTATCAAAACATTTCCTACGAACGCTGAGTCTGCCTTGGTCGTGTGACACGAATCAACGGGGGAACCCAATCAACAGCCCTCACTGTGTGTAACTAGTTGCGACATGGTGGGATGGGGCGCAGACAACCAATCGTTTGTGTCTCCGCGGTTTGCATTTCACTGACTAATCTTCGCAGGTCGTTACATTGTCGCTCGCATTTTAGCCATCAAAAAATTACCATCGTGATAACTAGATCCCGATGACGCTATTGCTCGTCACTGTGTTATTTCTTAACGATAATGCCGACCTGGTGCTCTCTAATTTTTCAATTCAAACCATTATTAACTCCCGCGCAATTCAATGAAGAAGTTTTAATATTGATCGCACCCCGCTCGCGCTTCTTGGTGGTTCATATTCAAAGCGTGCTGGTATCAGAGAAGTTCTCACCAATAAGGAACAGAGCGAACACGCTATTTCAAAATTTACGATTAGCATCGCGCATTTCTTGTTTCCTCGATGTCTTGAGGTTGCGGTGCGGTTTGTGGGTCTCATTATTTTGTGAGCATTGCGGAGTAAGTTTCTAGGAATTCGTACTTCTTTGCACCAGATTTCTAGCGTGTTCATTCCTTCCGGATGTTAGTGATTGATGGGAATCAGGCTTACGCGCAGGACGTTGTCGCACTAATCGTTCTATTATTGCCATCCCGCGTGAAGTTTATTATAAACCAGCAGCAGTATGAGGGGCAACGAGAGCGACACTAGATTCTTCCTTGGTTTTGACGAGGTCACGTTTACACGAATTCGCGCGAAAAACAACGTGTTCCTGAAAGCCGCATCAATGTCCCTCGGTAACAAACGTTTTAGTAAAAGTACTTATGAAGCAAGCCGCTAACTGAAATCAATTAGCAGAATCAGTTTGCTGCTCATTACTGTCTGAAGCACATAGGTGCTCAATCAAATGATCCCCATAGAAAAGACAAAAAATCATCAATGTGCACGCGTTGTTGAAAAAAACCTTGAGCGAATGATCAGCCATTGAACAAGCTGATCAAAATAGCCGATCATACCCAGATTAGCATAAACTTTGTACCGCAGACATATTGGATTTGTGGTGGACAGCTGTTTCACGACATCTTCATACATTTTTCAGGCAAAGTTCGAATCACAGGAGACGCACAGTATAAAATTCCAGACACATGGAACTTGAAGTAAACCTGGATATGATGCGTCCTTGTTCCGTTCTTATTGCGTTCCTGTTCTGCATCAACCACGTTGCAGTGTTGGAAGGCGTCGGTTTCCAAAATTGTTCATCTATATTTTACAACCAGCCGTCAAAGAATTGGGTTGTCCTGGTCGCTGGTTCAAAAACCTGGCGAAATTATCGACACCAAGTAGGTTTTTGTTGGTTTCTCAATGGTTTGAGTCTCAGAAGTTCAACTGAATCCCGTAAGAAAGGGTTTTCAAAGTGTAAGTTTGAATTCGTGGTCCCCAAACAGTTGTGTCCTACCTAGATTTCTCCGTGGCTGTGATATTTCAATCGAAAAGACGGTGAATGGAAGCCGCAACATATTGACACAATAATCAACGCACATTTCATGGGTTGTATTGGGTTTCGTCAGTATTTGCTTGTCGTAAAACGATATTATACTTTAAGTGGGGTCAATTCTCCGGTCCTATTATCCTCAGATGTTACTGAGGTGCATAGTGTGATTCTCGTCAATCGACATCCGACGTTCGTCATCCATAAGTGTTTTGTGGCGCATTATGAGAGGTGAAATGAAGGCCTGTGATCGGAAGGTATGGTGTTCTATCAAACACGATTTCGGTGGTTTTTAAGTCACCACTAATAATCAAACATGACACTGTTGCTTCATCATATTAGAGAAACGCTCACGGACCCGGGAGCACCGTAGCCTAGAGTGACCAGGTCCTAGAAATCTCAACAAAATCAACTGGCGTAGCAACACCATTGGATGTTACGGCGAAAGCAACGAAATCGCTAGGCAATGTGAGTGGATAAATCTATACCACTTGGTGAGATCAAGTAGCGTGTAGTTGGAATAAACATATAGAAATCCATCTTGGTCAAATTCGATCGTCCGCTCCTCTGTCATTTGCATGGGATTACATGAGAAGTATATTGAAAATGTTACACTAGTTCAGTGCGTGTGTATCCATTCTTAAGTTTCAGTGGGTAATAATTTATTACCATTGATTTTGGCCATAATGTGACTATTTATATAGTACACAAACGAACGACAGATTTCGACATGCTTTCGAAGCCAAGAGATACCAAGATTGTACAGCTTCGGTGAGCACGTCATCGTTCGGACACTTGAATGAATGTGGAAGTGTGGTCCACCTAAGCCCATCAGGAGTAGAATCGTTCTTCCTCTTCTTGGGATAGTGCATCCGAATGCTGTTTGAAGAACGGATACTCCACCGGGTATGGATTTTACTGCACACTCTGCTTACCGTCTTTAGCCTCCATGCCCCACTCCGCCTCAATTCATCCTAAATCCAACTGTCATTTTGTTCTCATTCAGGCGGACGTTTTTCACGCGTATCAACTGGTGCGTAAAAACAATGTTCCACCGGAGAATATAATTACCTTTGCCTACGACGATATTGCAAACAATCCCAAGTAAATATCGCGTACAGTATCCGCTTCATGGTAACAAGTGGAGTGTAGAAACACACTTCGTTGTTTGGCTTTAACATGTCCCATTGTCTTGCCGTCACATCAGATTTTCCTTTGGTTGATGCGTTTTCATGACTGTAGACGCCATAGAACACTGATGCAACCAGCACAAGCTGATGATATCCATGAAGATGACGAAGATATGTACTCGTTTGAGTGCCGGTTTCAGTAGTCTGAAATGAATCACGCTGATATTTAAATGACGTGTCAATGCTGACGATGATGGTCGGGATGATGAAGGTGATCAGGATGTTGATGATGACGACGATCATGCTGCGGATGATGAAAGTGATGATGATGTTGATGATGATGATGATGATGATTCAGATGATGATGATTCAGATGATGATTATGACTCGGAAGATAATCATGATTCTGGAGGTAATGACGATGATGATGGTAATGATGAAGATGATGGTGATGTTGATGACGATGATGTCAATGATCAGGATGATAATGATGGTGATAATGCCGATGTTGATGATGGTGATGAAGGTGACAATGTTGCTGTTGATGGTGGCGATGATGCCGTTTACGGTGATGATGATAATGAGCAGGATGATGATGATGATCAGGATGAAGATGTTGATGATTTTGATCATGATGATACTGATGATGATCAGGATGATGATGATGATAAGGATGATGAGGATGACATGTCCTCGATTGATTTCTCAGCAGACTGAAAGCAATCACATTGGTATCTAGATGCTTTAGTACATCACCCGGCAAATGATTTGGGGAATTAGTAAGCAGACAATCCAGTAAGCTAAAAATATTTTGTAATGCAGCCGAACTGGATAAAATTTTTAGAATGTACAGTTACCTAAAAGAATTAAATTTTTGCACCAAGTTTGTATTTTTCTTTGTTGTGCAGTCCACGAGTATCGTTGGAGTATACCTAAATTATTTCTGAGTAAACGATTGTTAGTCACACTGAATCGAATATGTGACAGAAGGTGCACTTATCGTCCTGAACATTTATTCGATAACAAGCCCAGGAACCAGAAGCATTTTTCGGCCTTTCACTTCTTCTTATTCCACCTACATGCTAGATTTTCTCAAATAACCCACTGCCACTTTTCATTCGCTTATTCCAGAAATCCGTTTAAAGGCCAAGTGTTCAATCACTACGATCACCTAGATGTCTACAACGGTGTGGTAATTGACTACCGTGGCAAAGTAAGCCTGTGTTCGGATGCGCGGCAATCAGATGAATTCCTGCATCGGTTCACCGTGTAACACAAGATTCAAGTAAATTTACACTGCAGATCAAAGCACAATAGAAACCGCAGGGCAGATTATTCAGTTTCACTATATTACAGAATGGTCAATCCACTTGAACGAACAATAGTCAAAAGGTCATAGAGGATTATCAGGCAGCCAACCACCGAGTTCACCATTCTGCTTTTGGCCTATCCAGTAGGCTAGCGTTGTTGTCCAAAGAAACGTGAAAAGTGCACGGGGACCAACATTGTCCTAATAGCTTTCTTCGATTAAATATCCTGTGATATTCCGAGACAGCACTTCCACCTAAAGAATATCATAGATTAGAGATGCTCAACTGCGATTCAGTTGGGTGCTGGTGAATCAATATAGAGGCTATTTCTCACAAACGTTCCATTCCTCCCAACTGAGGTAGATGAGGGTTATTGGTATTGCTTCCTGTTAGTCTATGTTCAACTCAACTACTAACACTAGGCACGACGAGCAAATCCAGATGCCATGCTTGGCAAACATACCAACAATCAAATAATATGACTGAAGATGGAGGGCAGACCGTAGAGTTCAATAATTTGTTACATTGCAAATGGATGGTTACTGTGAATAGAGTGAGTATGAAGAACACCATTGTCACAGGAATAATTGTTCATGCATTTTTATCCGTCTTAGGATGTCACACGGGATAATTTCGTGAAGGTATTAAAAGGCGATGAGAAACTTGAAGCCGACAAGAAGAAGGTGCTGAAAAGGTGAGTTGGCGCGAAAGTAGTTATTGTTGATGCCCTTGCTGATCACAGCCAGAATTGTAGTGTTTCAGTGCACCGTCTTCGGATTTGAGAAATGCGTGTTTAGTATTCTCGTAAGTAACTTGGTACATAATCTCTTCAAGTAAGCCTCCCAGAAGTCAGTCAAAAAGGATCAACTTCACTACAGGGGAAACCCGGTTTATCCGTTTCGGAGTATGGGTTATCATTAAACTTTGACATCAATCACCATTGTGTACAAGTTTCGCAAATATTCAAATTTGCGCAGTTTCGGATGGGCTAACTTCTGCTTGGTGTTGTACAATTCGGGGTCGGTCGATCTTGGTTTGCTCGCATTCAGGATTTGCTTTAACTCACGGTGTTGAGCGACGCAAATAAACACTGTTTTTTGGATAATCGAAATCCAAGTCCACGCTATCTTTTTCCGTCAATGTTCCACTAGCTGGTTTGCTTTTCCGCTTAAACCAGATTTGTTAACAGGTCTAAGAAGTAAACGTAGAGAAGGGTGGTTAAAAACTCTTCCAAGACTGAACAAATTCTCGCATTCAGGATTTGCTTTAACTCACGGTGTTGAGCGACGCAAATAAACACTGTTTTTTGGATAATCGAAATCCAAGTCCACGCTATCTTTTTCCGTCAATGTTCCACTAGCTGGTTTGCTTTTCCGCTTAAACCAGATTTGTTAACAGGTCTAAGAAGTAAACGTAGAGAAGGGTGGTTAAAAACTCTTCCAAGACTAAGTTGAACAAATTCAGTTTTTTAGATCCCGCCTGTAGTTGCGAGGGATAGAGAAGGAAAGAGAGATGGTCTAAAGAATGGGTGATCAAAGGCGATAAACGCATGTGTACAACAAAGCAGTGTTATTTACTGGAAGGGCAATCATGATTGCAAGCTCCGAAATACTTGAGGTATCCTTCAATGATCCCCGTAGAGTGCGCAAAGAAAAATACAAATTTGTTGCAAACAAGTAATTCTTCTAGGTAATTGTAAATTCAAAGATTTTTCTCCTCTTCTGCTGCGTTACAAAAGGCTTTAAGCTAACTAGATCGTCTCCTTACCATTTGCTTCAATTTGGCAAACAGTTGATGTACGGAAAATCGAGAATGTGATAACGTTCAGTCCACAGTATCATCATTATCATCATCATCATTTTGCTCAGCATCACCATCGCCATCCTCATCCTCCTGATCATCATCACCATCATCATCCTCATCATAATCCTGACAATCATCATCAACATCCTCGTTATCAACATCATCCTCATCATTCTGATCATCATCATCATCATCACCATCATCATCCTCATCATAATCCTGACAATCATCATCAACATCCTCGTTATCAACATCATCCTCATCATTCTGATCATCATCATCATCATCACCATCATCATCCTCATCATAATCCTGACAATCATCATCAACATCCTCGTTATCAACATCATCCTCATCATTCTGATCATCATCATCATCATCACCATCATCATCCTCATCATAATCCTGACAATCATCATCAACATCCTCGTTATCAACATCATCCTCATCATTCTGATCATCATCATCATCATCACCATCATCATCCTCATCATAATCCTGACAATCATCATCAACATCCTCGTTATCAACATCATCCTCATCATTCTGATCATCATCATCATCATCACCATCATCATCCTCATCATAATCCTGACAATCATCATCAACATCCTCGTTATCAACATCATCCTCATCATTCTGATCATCATCATCATCATCACCATCATCATCCTCATCATAATCCTGACAATCATCATCAACATCCTCGTTATCAACATCATCCTCATCATTCTGATCATCATCATCATCATCACCATCATCATCCTCATCATAATCCTGACAATCATCATCAACATCCTCGTTATCAACATCATCCTCATCATTCTGATCATCATCATCATCATCACCATCATCATCCTCATCATAATCCTGACAATCATCATCAACATCCTCGTTATCAACATCATCCTCATCATTCTGATCATCATCATCATCATCACCATCATCATCCTCATCATAATCCTGACAATCATCATCAACATCCTCGTTATCAACATCATCCTCATCATTCTGATCATCATCATCATCATCACCATCATCATCCTCATCATAATCCTGACAATCATCATCAACATCCTCGTTATCAACATCATCCTCATCATTCTGATCATCATCATCATCATCACCATCATCATCCTCATCATAATCCTGACAATCATCATCAACATCCTCGTTATCAACATCATCCTCATCATTCTGATCATCATCATCATCATCACCATCATCATCACCCTAACCATCCTGATCATACTCATAACCCTGACCGTCATCATCAACATCATCATCCTCCTCATCATCATCATCAACATCAACATTAGCATCACCATCCTGATCATCATCCTCGTCATCAATCTGATCATCATCAACATCCTGATCACCCTGATCATGATTACCATCCTGATCAACATCATCATCATCATTATCATCATCATCTTCGTCATCATAATTACCGTCATCCTCATCATAAATGAATAGAAAGTTGGTTAAAAGCCTTTCCCATACTAAGTTGAACCAATTCAGTGTTTTTGATCCCACTTGTAGTTAGTTGGGATAGAGAACGTAAGAGAGATGGTCTCTAGAATAGCCGATCAAAGGTGAAGAACTCAACTGAACAATAAAAAGATTTTATTTACTGGAAGAACAACCATGAAAGCAAACTCGGAAAACTCGAGCCACAACACAATAAAACTTCAGAAACAACCACACAAAATGTACTACCGAATCCAGTAGTCGAGGTGAGAGCCAATCGAATGTGAAAAGCCATACTAAGACACAACAGAAATCTGTAAGCGTGCAATCAGAATTTGGTCAAAAGATCTTCAGACAGGAACTACTTTAATCAGGAATCGAATTCAAGAAATGCCAGTCACAACGCAGCACAGATCGAAATTGACCATTAAGACCCCGCGAAGTGCATCCTGCCTTGAGCCAGTCACAGCAGTATAATATCATACTGGTATGGGGGAGCTTCTGACCAAACCACTCACTCATGATTCCACTTCTGTTGGAAATGAAACATTTGCAAGCTGATCACTACGTTTAGAGAACAGATGAACATCATCTTCATCAACGACCAACAAACGGAACATTTGCAGATGGCTTCTGGGATATTCCTGTTCACAATGTAGGATCGTCTCACCTTGGTTATAATATTTTTCCTCAGCAGTTTATATGTAATTTAGATATTTCATTCAACAGATGTAATCTTGCTAACAGGAGCCTCTTATCGAAATACCAGAGTGTCACCGTTCCACCGGCAAGATGGTAAACCTAGCTAAAGTGGAAAACTGCTTCCAACCATTTTCATGCATTGAAACCACTAGGGGCTACCCTATCCCGTGATACAAGAATTCACCAACAGACGACCAAAGAATGGAAATTCCATTCCCATATTCACGTGGCCATGGAAATATTAGACAACTATAATTTAATTTAGCTACGATTACATCCCAGCAGCGTGTACAAAACAATATTCCGAACTAGGTGTTCGCTATGCTTCCATTTCCGCGGGTTTTTGTGCTTTCCCATGCGCAACAACGCCACCCAATGGACTACTTTTTAAGACCACCTTAATCTTTTCACCCAATAACAGCGGTCCTAATGACAACGTGTTCATCTTTTTCTCCGGCTATGGTGGGGCTTCCCATATTAACTTCCCAGAAGAATATGTAAGTAATGTAATTTTGGTAACCACGGTTTTAGCACGCAGTTTTTGAAATTGGAAGCTTACGTAAATATGTTGGCGCATTGATATCGGTAATACTTTATTAATTAGAGTTTATAAGCAAGCTGGCCTACATATCAACCGAAAAATGGAACACAAGCTACGATGTTCGCACGTCACTCTCAAGTTCGACAGCCCCAGGAATTCAAGTTTGATAGGTCTCGTCAAGATGCTTTAAATGACACCGTCACACAGACTTTGCTTTACGAGGTTTCAAGTCGTTTGACTCACATGATATTGCGGTCGATCCACTCAGACTGCCAAGCAAACGTAGATACCATAAACAAAGAAGCCGGTCGTATACGGTCACTAATGAGGAGTGGATGACACGAGGAATGCGTCAGCTGAATTCTCCCCGAGAAGACAACACACATTTTGCATCTACATGGAGAGTACGAATCTTTAGAAGTATGAAAATGTATTCGTATTTCTGTATTTCTGTGATGAAAAGCCCAGAAGCGATGTACAACTCTTCCATTCTAATTGCGAATCATCAGTGGTGCGTTCGATAGGTGCAACGTGTAACCTTTCGGCCACGAGCGACCAACAAACAGCCAGATTTATCCGCAAAAGTCAGGACAAAACATTGCCCATTCTTCCACCAAGTGATCCATATCACTGGTGACGGACTCATCAGGTGACTAATCAAGAGCTCACAAGAATTTTTCTTCTTGTCTTGCGGCAGATGTATGCAGTGGAGTTGAACGATACCCTCGCCTACATGCATTCAAAAAAGAAGTTCAACAAATTGGTGCTGTACGTGGAGGCTTGCTACTCTGGCTCTATGTTTGAAGATGTCCTTCCTTCAAATATGGGAAGTAAGTAGCGTAAATTTCTGGCTAACTCATGCATGGATCCTGTGAAATAGCAATCAGAATGTCAATCATATATATGGTTTAAAAGCGGCGTTGATCAGTAAAATAGAACGAAGTTCCAAGCTTGGTTTATGCTTGTTCACTCCGCGATCTTTGTATGGAAGTAGCCCAGGACTTTATTTGAGAAGCGTTTAGCCGATGATAGCACAAAATCCAGCCTCCGTCGATTACTGTCGCATTTTCTTCTGAACCAGCTTCACATGGGCGGAGGAACTGAGTGTGTAACCGGTAGAACCCATGTGATATTTTGGTGTCCCTTTGCAGCAACAATCCCATGTGGATACTGTAAACGCTAAATGGATTTTGCGTCACTTCAACCAATCGACCAACAGGTCTAATGGTTGTGGCCTCAGTAACTTTGGCCGTTCTCGTCAGTGGTCATTTTTGAGAGGGAGTTTACCGTAAAAAATCAGATTATGCATTCACACACTCATTTGATTTTGCCTGAATGACTCAAACAAAACCAGATAAATGTCTCATTTATGAGTGGTTGGCAACTTCCGCCCAGTCTGGGATGAAGTTTTGATTAACTTTTAGGGAATGTCAAGGAATGCGCCTACCAGATTCGCTGCATGAAGCACGAAAACCATTATGTTCTGTTAGTGAAATGTGAGCGACCTTCTTAGTAGTGTGTTAGTTCTAGACGTCTTGCAGCTTCATTATTTCTGTGAGTCACAGAATCCGTTGGTCGACAATTTACCTCACTATTTCGCACACCTTTGATATTGACCCGTACTAACTATTCTGTTGTCTGAACCCCTAAACATGCAGTCTACGCGACAACTTCAGCCAAAGCAAATGAAAAATCCTGGGCTATTTTTTGTAAGGACCCGAAAATCGATGTTTGTCTAGCGGACGAATACTCGTATGCCTGGCTTATAGATTCGGAACAGGTACGTTTTAACAGAACGGTTGCAGATAAGTGTGTTAGTCTTGGATGGGTAGTTCGGTAATATTCAGCAGCCAATGGTAGTCCAGATGATTCTCAAAAGCCATTATTTGTTGTTTGCAAGCGTGAAGAATGTTTATGGCAATTCTGCCACCACAGCAGTCCGGTGGCTCCAAAAAATAATCAAACTATTGGTTCTATGTCCGAATTTTGTCACTATCCTCCCAATCAGATTCACCTCTGATATGAAAGAGACTAACAAACGTCTGGGGTCTATTGGTGTTATTCGCCCTCTACGATGGAGACCGCTTGATTTCCAAAGTGCTTGGTTGAAGAAGCTGCAAATCATGTCCTTGAATCAATGTTATTTGAGTTCCTGTTATCATTTTTCGGTTGGGTCCCCCGATTAATTGTCTGGAGCTGCAGGCGCATTAGAATGACTGTGAAAGGCCAGTACTAAGTACTTTCCCCATCAGTTTTGATTACGTTATTCCAAATATGGCTTTAAATGGATTTCAAATGCACGCGGGGAAGCGCGAATGTTGAATACGGATGTTGACGGTGATGGCGTTGATGATGGTGATAACGATGCTGAGGATGATAGCGATGATGTTGATGCTGGTGGCTCTCCTGATCGCCTTCGTCTCAATACATCTGTCGAAATGAACCAATATGTCCGTGGCGCTCATGCTGTCAGTTTCTATCCAGATTGCCTGACTGGGTCTCTAGTATGTGGACATCTCGCGTGTGTGCCGTTGGCAAGCCCTAAGTTTTCCTTCCTTTTCCGTCATCCCTTCTTTTACCGCTACAAATAATTTATATTGCTTGTACGGTAATTAATCATCAGTGTTTTCCTCTGTCCCTGCTCTTGATGATGCTGATGCTGCTGCTGATGATGATGATGATGATGGTGATGGTGATTTGGGATCAGATCCTTAGAGCATCAAATCCTTAAGAAATGTTGGTTCCGCAGGAACAACGGAATGGTCGCTAATTTACCAGTAGTATGTGTCTTTCCATACCTCGGTTGTCTTAACTTTAGTGAGGGTTTCAAGGTTTTGCCTACATTGGATCCCGCTTAGAATTGCGTAAGTTGATCTTCTGCTTCACATACCTCTCCTTTGTCATTATCTCTCATCCGCGAGCAGAATGACATAAAAGAGCTCACACTGGAGGAACAATACGAACACGTGAAATGGAAGATGGTGTTAAGTAACGTGATGAAATACGGTGAAATGGTGAGTCATAAAACACCACGAGGAGATTCAGTTGGGCCACTTGTGAAAAGTCAATGCGTTATGAAAATGAGTTTGTTTATCGAGATGAGAGTTGTACCTGTGAAAATAGACGGTCAATGTTAAAAATACTCGATTAATCATTTCAGGTTTCATAGACGAAGTTCAGCGAGGTTGCAAGCCCAGGCATCTAGATATCCAAGCCTAGCCAGTGTCACTTTTCGGATAACCAGGCAATGGCTTTGGGTGCCATATGGTTCATATGTTTCTGTGCTACCTTACAAAAAAACGTCGAATCTATTTGAAACATTTAAAAGTAGCTCAGGGTAAGAATATTTTCACACGATGACTGAAACTTCTATCTGAAAAGTTGACGCTCGCGGAGCCAGTCAATAGGTGCACACGTGATGTGGTTTTCCGTGATTGAACGACGAGTGACTCTGTGTTATGTCTAATTTGAAGACAATCATACTGCTGAGCAGTCACTTGTGACTGACCGGATGGTTGCCGGTTAGTAGTTGAGTGCCCTGGCCTAAACGAGCTCACTTAGGTGATAATACTAGTGATTCTGTGGGCATCAATGACTGATGACACTGATGATTGCGAGACGGTTTCGGAATGGATGTTCACTGATCAACAGGTTTTTCAACACTAGCACGTGAGTACTAAAGTGTGAAACCACGTTCCAATGGTCAAGCCGCTACATAATTATACGAACCCAGACGCCATCTTAGTTGACAATGCACTTATAAGCGCCTGTTTGTTGTTTATTTCAGGCGATGGGAAGTCTCCCAGTTGGAAAATTCCAGGGTCATTATGATCTACTAATGCACCGGAACAATGGGGCAATAGAAGTATGTGTTAGGGGCATTCTGAATTGCTCATTTTTACGCATTGAATGGTTAAGCAAAGAAGTGACCACTCTATATTCCAATGACACTGTAATAAGTCGCCACTTCAGTAGCAGAAACGCCTGCTATCCCAGTCAATATCAATAACCTCAATAAGAAATTGTTGATGGAAATATGAGTCACTGCGGCCAAAAACAAGAAGCCCCTTTATGTGGTTTGCTACACATGATTCGATATATACGTATATATGAACATACATATATATATATATAAATTGATAGATAGTAAAATAGGCATACAGACAGACAGACAGAGAGACAGACAGGCAGACAGACAGACAGACAAATAGATAGACAGATAGACACAGATAGATAGATAGATAGATAGATAGATAAACAGATAGATAGATAGAT